CTACAGTCCCAATATAAGAGTCATTTCATTGCAGCCAGCCTGAACAACCAAAAAAGTGGTAGCTCCACCGCTGGTGCCAGTGGCTGGACCAGTGCTGGGAGTTTGAATTCGGTACCAACGAGTTCAGCACAGCAGAGTGCTGCAAATCCTGAGAGCCAGCTTGCTACAGCTGCAGCAAAGGGGATCCCTGGGTTCACCAGTGCTGGGAATCTGAGCAGCGTCCCCAGCTTCCCACCCATTGGGATTCAGGGATATAATAACATGAACACCAGCAGCAACAACCGAGAAGGTGGCCCTGGTATCGGTGGCCCTGGCATCGGCAGCCCTGGTATCGGTGGCCCTGGCATCGGCAGCCCTGGTATCGGTGGCCCTGGCTTCGGTAGCAGCAGAGAGAGATACAATGACAATCGCAGCGGGCGCCACAGTGACAGTCCGCGCCACGGTGATGGAGGTGGGCGCCACAGTGACGGTCAGCGTCATGGAGATGGAGGTGGCCGCCACAGTGATAGTTACCGCCATGGAGACGGCCGACATTTCTACAAGGAGAAAGCGGCAGAGGACAGCCATCGCCACAGTGAAAGCCGGCATTCTGCTGGCGGAAGCGGCAGGGGGCCGACCCCAGGAATAGTGGTGACCCCCGGAATAGCAATGAAGGAAGGATCAATGAGAGCAGGAACATCGAGAGCAAGAACAGCGAGAACAGGAAAGAAGGTGGCAACCGAGACAACAAGTCGGATGGTTTTGCTGTCCCAGAGCCCCCAAAGCGCAAGAAGAGTCGATGGGACAGTTAAAAGTGGGTGAATTGCAACTTAAAATCCCTGCAGGGGGCGGTGTCTCTATGGAGGATTTCCTGGTATTTGGTAACTGGTTACTGAGCAGCTGGGGGACGAGAAGGAAACCATACAAGTTCCTGTGTGAGGCGGGGCCAGTATGCCTGTAGACAGCTTCACTCTAATGACGTGTACACACAATGCTATTGTCAGAGAGAGATCATTTTTATAAAGCTTTCCTGGGTTTTGCTTTTAAAAATTCATTGCTCATGTGACTTTCTGCTGGATTTAAAACCAGATCCTGTTAACAAAAAAGCAGTCATTTGTTTTGCACACTGCAAACATTTAAGAAACTGTTGTCCAGACAGGTTTAAAGGGTTTTTTGTTTTGTTTTGGCTTGTTTTTTTTAAATCGGTGTACACATTTATAAGCCCAGCCCATCTGAAGATGCTCAGGACTCACCTGTTAGACATTAACTTTTCAGCAATTTGTGCGATACTGTGAGTTTTCTCTAATCTGTTCCTTCATTTTCCCTGCCCCTCCACCACTTCCCTTCCTCCCAGTCCCTCTACCGCCCAAATAATTTGGTCTCAGGCTCACCTCCTGATTAAGAATGTATACATGTGTGTTGATAATGATCAGAGAGAGGGTTGATCTTTATCGGGCGGTGTTAAGAGTTTTGTCTAGCCCAGTTTACTATAATTCCACATTTCGTCTAGGACAGATTCCCCATCCTGTTAATAGCAAATACAATGATCCCACTGCTTTTACTTTTGATGAGACCCCTCTTACCTAAAATCTTCACCTTGGAAGCCTGCATAGCATGTGTCTCTGCTGTGCCTATTCTGCCCTCTGTTGTGAGAGGGTTTGTTAATTTCCCAGACAAAAGGGAAAACTTCTCCTATATGTCACGCTAAACATGGGCCAGTGTCCCCCTCCCTTGCCCTGGGAGATGAGATTAACTGGGGAAGATTTTGTGTGTCAGTTAAGGGGTCTGCTGCTGAAAAGCTTTTAGGGGACCCCAGAACAGTGACTGGCAAAATAACCTGACTCAGATATTCGCCCTGTCTCAGAGACCTAGTCAAAATGTAAAATCTCGTTTGACTGGTTTTAACTCTTGATTTGTCATGTGTATTACCTGGGGTTTTTTTAACTTTTCTTTTGCCCTCACAGTAAGAAAAAAAATATTTAGCTGAAGCAGTTCAATGCCCACCTCTGTCTTATTTCTACAAGAAGTGTCAGAAACTGTCAGGTTTTTGTGATCTTGTGATGTTTTCTTTATCAGCTGTGCGTTTACTTTCTGCTTGCTCTAGTAAATGTTTTATTATTGGGATACAACACCTGATGTGCCTTTTTTTTGTTACTTCCGTGCTCACCCCATTCAGTTTTTTGGGTTTCTGGAAGGAGACCTAACAGAACTGCAGACTTCATATATGACACCCCCATCCCTCCAAGCTCATGTTTTTCAGTAAAAGAGATGGATTTTTCTCTCCAGCACCTTTCACTAGAATATTGCAAATCATTTCACAAACACTCCCTTCATAAGCCCAAGTGAGGAAGGTTGGCAGTCTCTCTAAAGGATGAGGATACTGAAGCGCAGAAGCTGTGACTTGGCCAAGCCATGTATCAGGTCATTGGCAGAGCAGAGAGGAGAACCCAAATGTCCTGGTTTTCACTTCCCTATTTTATGTGTGCACCTCAGTATCCAACTTGGGACTTCAGGATAACTTCAGGTTTGAGCTTTTACTTACCAGCTCTGTTTTTAATCAATAAACTGATTTGGGGAGCTTTTTCCTCTTTCTCCAAACCACTAACAAAAAGTGACCAAAAGAAACTCAACTGAAACATTGACCTTGCGCCCCTTTGTGGAGCTCAGCCTGGGAGCTACTTCACGTAGCCACTTCATTCAAAACCTTAAGTCCCCACACCATGGGTGTAAATATGGAGTGTTTGGCACTGGCCTTTGCTCTGCCAGGTTTCAGTTGTATGGAAGAGGCGCAGCACAGCAAAAATTGAGTATCCACGATGACCACTGGACAGAGGGGGCTCATGGGTGGGTGCAGGGGCTCTTGCCATCATTTCATTCCCCTAACAGTACTTGCTGCCATAAAAAAACTGCAGCTGCATAGCAGATGACTGCTATCTGCAACCTCCCCTCCTCTTACACTGAGTAGCCTGACAGGAGTGTATTGGCACAAGATCCAGCCATAGAGATGGCAGAGACTTCAGCTTCTCTGTCTTTCACCCACCTGTTGGCTTTTCTGATCCAACTATCAAATTCCTCACCTTGGTTTCTGTGCTACCAGTCCTCTAAGATTTAAATAAACAAATACCCAGTGATGCCAGGAAACTAGACACATCAACTCACAAGCCCATGTTAGATCCATGAGGGGGCTGTTACTTTCTCCAAAGAACAGAGTGTGCTTAGCCATGCTAAACCTTCCAGGAGATCAGGTGTTCTAATATAGGAGGCCCTGCTCAAGTTGCTCCAGGGACTTGAGATGCAAGAGTTTTGTGGGTGATATCTTTTTTTTGGACCAACTGCATGGTTGGCATAGATTTAGACAACTTGCTCGTCTCGCAGTACCTTTCCTAAGGTAAGAGAAGGTTCCAGTGGTCATCAAAAAGACTTAAGGAAGGGCACTGTGAATACCCAAAAGCTTGTTTAAATCTATCCCAATCATGCAGGTGGTCCAATAAAAGATACCATCTATAAAAACTCACATATTTCCTGGACCATCACAGTTACCACCATCACTTCCAACACTCCAGGAACCTCTCTTCCAAGACTATGGAGGTTTGATTTGTGACAGCAGTAGTTATTGTGGTATTGCATCTAAAGCAGGTGCCAAAATGCTGTTCTGCCTCTGGTTCATCCCTGCTTTCCCTTGTTATCTCACCTCAAGCTGTCCTCTTTGAATTCTCTTATCTTTCCTCATGGGCCAAGCCCTTGATCATTTCCCCATCTCCTCTTTGAATGTGGTACTGGTCCCAAGAACCAAAAGTGGTTTGCAGGTGCAGTTGCAATAGTGTTACAGGTTATTGAACTCTTATCTCTGATGTGGTGTCTGTTAATATATCGCTAATATATAATTGGCAGCCATGTGACGCTAGGAAACGCCTCAGTGGGCAGTTCTCACTCTGGTTTTTGTCTCTGAACATGAGCATTTCATGTTTACTGCTTTTCTGAACCAATTGTCGCTCTATATTCTACTCCCCTCTAACCATTCGAAGAGATTTTGGATTATTTTTCTGCCCTGGTGGAGTATGCAGCTCCTCTAAGTTTAGTTTCATTTGTGAATTTTGTCGGTGCACGAATATGCTCTTTACACTCAAGTCCATTAATATGAAGCCTGATATCATTCACTTTGGTTTCTGAGCAGCACCATGACACTCATCACTTCTGCCTTCCTGTCCTTCAGCTGGTTTTTAGTGTGGAAATCCAAAGGGAGAGTAAGTTGTCTTGAGACACTAACTTGAGAGCAGCAAAGCCAGCACCTGGACCATGGGCCACTTTGCCTACCAGAGGCATGTGGTCTTGTTGGAGGGGAATCTCACAGGCACCTCTCTTCCCTGCCTCCAACACATGTAGACCACACATGTAGCGTGGTGACATGGCATTTGAAGTCCATTGCTCCCTTGGTTAAATCAATTATTTTGCCAATAGCTCAGCTAGAGGAAGCTGCAATAGATGTCAGTGAGAAGCAAACTATGGTAGTGTCAGCAAAATATACACGGCTTTGATTCAAATACATGGACCCTAAGCTCATTGGAGGGTATAAAGGGGGTTAGTTAACCATGGTAGATTTTTCTGTCCAGAGTGGAACCAATCACCTTGTTTGGGCTTCCTTCCCAGGCTTACTGGAAGGAAGTTCATTGTTTTCTTTCTCAACTTAATCTCACATGATTGACTGTGTAGAGTTGGGTGTTTGTGCTCTTGTTTCATAGTGGAGAGAGGTCTAGACTGAAACCCAAGAGGCTGGGTTCTCTTCCCATCTCCACTGCTGACCTAATGAGTGATCAAGGCAAGTCATTGCAACTCTTTGGGTCTCAGTTTCCCCTATTTGTAAAGCGCAGGTAAGAGCCACAGATGAAAGGCAATTTAGGAAGTAGATGATATAATTTATTTTGGTGCTATGGAGGGCAGTGGTTCTTGTCCTCAGGGCAAGGGGGAAAGAATCTTAATTCTCCTCACTTCTGTTCCTGGCTCTGAGGCTGGGTCACACTGGCCAAGTCCTTGCACCCTTCTCTCTGGCACGTGTTGCTTGGTCCATTAATTGTCTAGAGTGTGCTTGCTGCTTTGGCAAAGGGCTACAGAAATGCATGGTTGCGTTCGGCTCTGCTGACAGCATGATCAGGATTCTCCTATAGGATGCCTGTATCTCATCAGCCTGGGATTGGTTGCCAGAGTTCTAGAGTGGATCTTGCTAAGTGTAAGACCAAGTCTCTTTCCAGGTGATTTGTCACTTAATAACAGGACAGTGAGCACCTCAGTGCTTCGGAGTCTGAGGCCAGTATATGGGCCAGTGTGCTAGCACAAGCCCTATTCCAGTCAGTGCAGGGCTGAGAGTGCCAGCCCAGGCTGCCGTAGTGGAAGGAGGTACAAGCAGATCTGTGTGCCCAAGTTTCTATCCAGTCGCCTTACAGGGAAAGGGCTTCAAAGACAGATTTGAGCTACAGGGACTGGCTCAGTCATTCATTTCACAGCCTACAAACCCTTACGTAGCAGGGGTTTCAGCAGAGATGTGGCCCAGACAATGGCAGAAAAAATGCCAAGGATTAACCAGTCAACGTAGTGCTCACTGCACCCACAGGATAGAGCACGTGGCTTTGGCTGCATGTGGCTAGAGATTGCTTCTGCCCCTCCTCTCCTCATCATGTGTTGGCAGCTCCTGTAGTTACCGCAACACACCAGCCACCCTTGTGTTAACAGCATCCACCCCAACACGTTTCCCCATCCTGCTCTGCAGTCCATAGCCACAGGCTCCACTTCCCCCTTCTCCCCTAGATGTTGGTTGTTTTTTATATAAAGTTTGGGTGGTTCAAAGATTTTGGGCAAGGACAAACAGTTCGCTTTACAGGAGCCTCTAGACTGGCAGCGCTTGGGTGACCACAGCTGTCTCCCTGGCCTCTGGGTGAGTACTCTGGCTGAAGGGAGGGAATCTTAGAGTTGTGCTTTAATTTTCCTCTGACGGAGCACAAGCCCGCTGCCCCTTGTTCTGAAAGTGCAGCTTGTTTGAAGGATAGGTTGCAGCATGTAGTACTCCCATTTTGATGGCTGGGTTATTCTGATCAGGAAGGAGCTTTGCATTCTGGGATTTGTAGTCTCATAATCTGCTCAAACATAAGAACACAAGCAGTGCCATACTGTGCCAGACCAACGGTCAGTCTATACCCAATATCCTCTCTCTGACAGTAATAGAAGTTTTAGAGGGAAAGCATGTGAACACAGCATATCTAGAACGATTTATGCTGTCATATCCTTCCTGTACCACCATCATTGGCTTAGGGATGCCAGAGGATACATCCCTAACTGTTCTTTTTAATAGCTATTATAGAACCATCATCCATGAATTTGTCTAGTCCTTTTTTTAACCTGGCTGTATTATCTGCCTCTACAACCTCCTGGGGGTAATAAGTTAACTGTGCATTGCCTAAGAAGGTGCTTTCTCTTGTTTGTGTTAAGCTTGTCTCCTGCTAATTTCAGTTCCAGTTTTCTGGGGTTTGGTGAATAACAGTTCCCTAGTCACTTTGTCCACATCTTGCATGGCTTTATAGACCTCTCTCATATCCCCCACCTCTGTCTTTTCTTTTCCAAACACAAGAGTCCTAGCTTTTTTAGTCTCTCCTGGCATGGCAGCAGATCCATACTCCTGATCATCTTGATTGCCCTTTTCTGTACATTTCTAATTCTACTACATCTTTGCTTTGAGATGCAGATGCCAGAACTGCACACAGTATTCAAGACCTAGGCACACCATGGATTTGTGTAATGACATGATGTTTTCCATTTTGTTTCCAATTCCTTTAATGATGCCCAACACTTGATCAGCTATTTTGGTTACTGGTGCACATGGAACTAATGGTTTTAGCAAATTATCTACAATGACTCTAAGGTCTCTTTCCTGGGTTGTAATGGCTAGTTCAGAACCCAGCTTAGTAGCTGCCTGAGTTGCAGGACTGCTTTTCCCACACCATTTATTGTGCAGGTGCACTTAACTTCACCTTCCCAGGCTGTGTGATGCCATTGTGCTCGTTAGTGTTAAGTGGCTCAGAATTGCTCGGAAGGAGCCAACTTGATCTGCTCAGCAATTGCTATAGGCTGTCTGAAGTAGCTGCTTGGATTCTTTTGGGAAGCTGGAGCCGGTGGCAGCTCAAGAGACAGTTCACTGGAGCAAATGGAGCAGGGTATTGTTTCCCGTTGACCATCCAGGGCCTTATGCATGCAGGTGTCACCATCACCACAGCCCAATTGCATACCCAAGGAAGCAGAAGTTTGGACCAGATACCATCTGGGCTACAGAGCTACCTTTCTTTTCCCCCTCAGCTGTTCAGAAGCAGCTGCAACTCTTTAGGCCAGGTAGTTAAGATGGTGCTGTGAGTTCCCTGGTCCCATCCACCCCAGAAAGTCAAGCTAACAGGCCAGATGTCCAGATTCATCTCCAGCTTCCTTTCCTTTCCCACACTCTCTGCATCACTAAGTATTAACCCCAGGCAAAACATCTCACAGTCCTATAGCCTCAGAGCCAATTCCTTTCAAAGTCTGGTTGGAGACTTGCTTGCATGATGCTTCACAGCATGGTCTCCAGCTCTTTGTTGAGACTGAAATGACTTTGAACCAGGTCTGATGAGTACATGAAGTCCTTACTACCCTCCCCAGAGGCCCTCTGGCTGCCTTCTCTGGCTGGAGAAGGCAGGGAATTGTCAGAGGCAGATGAGCTTGAGATGAACCCTGGCAGGCTGGTGTGTGTGCACAGGGGCAGCCCATGGTGTTTGGTGCTCTGCTGCATCCCGGTCACTGCTGTTCCCCAGCCAGCAATGCTCATGCTGACACTGTTGGTGGCATGTGACACTAGGCCACCATAGTAACAGCTCCCTCCTGTGCTGGTGATGCGCGCTTTCTGCTTGAAATCCAGTGCCAGGCTCCTCCGGAAACGGGCTTTCTTAATCTCTGCCTGAACCTGGGGGAGAGACCCATCTTGTCAGAGCCTGGTAACATGATGAAAGCACTGCTTGGGCCCCAGAAGCCAGGCCCTGTTGGCACAGACACCACAGTGCTCCAAGATTGGGGTTGGGGTGGCATTGGGATTCTAGGGGTACCTGTAAGGGGTGGGTTTCAGAAAGTGGGTATTCTCCCCTAGCTGTTACCCATCATACCCCATGCCCACATCCCTCAGTCTGGGCTCCATTCACCCCTTTGAATTTCCCTTGCATAGTGCATTGAGAGTGGACTAGATAGGGGCAGTGACCAGGAAACCTGGCAGGTGGTCAGTGAAGAATCCAAGTCTGTGTTGCCATGCAAGTGATCTTCACACAGTGCAGCACTGGACAGATCCTGTGTGGTAGGGGGCATCCTGGAGGAGGAGCTACCTGCCCTCTTTACCCGCTGGTCTCATACCCAAGCAGGTGCTCAGCACCTGCCTGGATCTGTCCCAAAACGCTTGGCTGGGGCCACTCTATCTTCCCTTGCTGTACGTGGGTGCAGACCCAGGGCTGGGATGTGGTCAGGCATGTTCCCAGGCAGGAAGCTGGAGACTGCCAGCTTGGCATTTGTGTTTGCTCAGCAGGGAAGCAAATTTCATGCTTCTGTGTGGCGTCAAGTTAATGACCCAAGAACTAGTTCCACTCATGAACTGGGCCCAGCATAGACAGTGCAGCAAGCACAGCCCTTAGACTTCCAGGCTAACCTGATTCACCACTACCCACCTATCGGGGCTAGAAGGATCCTTCAGCCTCTGGGCCTGACAGTTCAGTCCCTGACCTGAGAGCCAGCAAGGAGGCTGGTGAGTGCTGTTCTTCAGGACCAGGGCCAAGTGTGGCAGGCAGCAGCTCAATGCATGTGCAGTGTCAGGCAGGGGCAGGGGCAGGGGCAGGGTCCCGGTCTGTCCCTCCCACCAGAGGTATGTGACCATCAAAAGGTTTTTTATACAAGTTACTTCAGAATAGATTCCAAGAGGTTTGAGGGGCCTCGCTCCTTCAAAGCACCAGAGGAGGAAGCCCCTGGCTGCACGTGGGCTTGCAGATATGTGCCTGGCTCCATAGTTCCTACAGTGATGGCTGAGCTCCCATGTGCAGGGGTAGGAAATGCACCTGAATCCCTACCCAGGCCAAGGCTATGCTGCAGGGCTGGGCCCTGCTCACTCACCTCCCCATTACAAAAGCAATAGATGAAAGCCACAAAGAAACCCTGCAAGAGAGAGAGATGGATTTAGTTTCCTTGGTTGTGCCCCCCCGGAAGTGCTGGAAACCCCTAATGTGAGCCCAGTGCAGCTCCTGCCTTGGCCCAGAGGGAGAGTTCAGAGCATCAGGCACCACATCTCCTGAGCCCCTGTTCTATGTGTATTGTGAACCTGATCCTCATTTGTTTTAGAGGGCGCAACCAAAACATAGGCAGTCAGAGCGTGACCCACTGGGGTCATAGCCCAGGGGATCAGGAACAGGCAAGGTCAGGGAAGCAAGGGTCCAGACTAGAACCCAGGAGACAGGAGTAAGGGGGTCAGGGGATCAGGAGCAGGGGTGTCAGGCGGTGAGGTCTACAAGGCAGGGGGCTCAGGAGCAGGGATCCAGAACAGTACTACTAGCCAGGCAGGTTGGAACAGACCGTGATAGCTGTATGGGACCAGGACGTGGGCAACTGCCAAGCTAAGCCACAAGCAAAAGGCTGGCTATCAGAGGACAGGATCTGGAGGAGTCAAGGACCTGGCAGGCAGGGTCAAGCAAACCAGGAACAGAGACTTAGGAGCCCAGGGCATCTCTCCTGTTGAGTAGCCTACTGCATATTGAAAGAGATGCAGCTTAAAGGCAGCAGCCATGCCCAGCAGGCAACTGGATCCAGGTGGGGATAGGCGACTGGCAGCCAGGCCAACTCAGCTTGTGGCACTTTGACTAGCCTGCTTCCCTGGCCCCTCATGTTTTGGCAGCAGTGGTTCCCCTGGAAGAATTGCCTTGCTCAGCCTGTTCCCAGTCACAGCTTGTTCAGCTGAACCAGCCATCCCCATACTAGGCAGGGCAGCTGCAACCAGGCTCAAAACCAGCAGAACTACCCAGAATGGCTTGGCAGACTCAGCAGAGCAGCCGGCAAAAGAGAAGACGTGGAAAGCAAAGGCCAATTTCAGCGCCCCACAGAGCAGGCTGAACTGGAGCCACCTCTGCCAAAGTTTTTGCACGTGTGGATCTCTAAGAGCTTTCACAAAGGAGGATTTTACAAAGGAAGACAGGGTCCCACACTGGTTCTTGCCAGAACTAAGCAGCAAGACCTGGGTTGTGCTGGGGCAGGAGAGCTGGGCATGACCCACCTCCCAGCATGGACAAACCTGAGAGGAGTTGAAGAGCATCTCATAGTGCATCTGTATTTGCCACAGGACCCCGGAGACGTCCGTGTAGGGCATTGCCATGAACACCACATAATGGACTCCAAAGAGCGGCATCAGCACCAGGGTGGACTTCAGCAGCTTCCTTAGAGGTGAAACCATTCCAGGGGGGTTAGTGTGCATCTGCTTTTCCACAACCTCCTGTTCTTGGCTTTTCAGCCACTGCCAGGATTACAGTACAGTACAGTACCCTGGATAAAGCAACTGCCACCGCATGCTTCTAGCATGCCTTCCCTCCAAGAAGATGGCTTTCCTGGGTCTTCAATGGCCTCTGAAAGGCAGCCACCTCTCAGAAGAACACGGCAGATGATTTAACACTGCACACACAGCAGACAACAATTCAGGCTAAAAAGGGAAGGTGAAATTGCCAGGGAGTGGTGGGGAGATGGGTCTAGAAAAAGCTGCTGAGGCATACGCCCTAGGGAAAAGGCCCTGGGATCTCTAATGCCTATGAACATCCAGCATCTCAGTGGAATGGCACAGGGCTGCTAAGCATCGGTTTAATATGGACTCACCGGGAAAAGAGATTGCCAGCACCATCAGGTTTTTCTTCGAGGTGTCAGAAGAGATGCTGAGCAACCAGCCCAAGGCTGGGTTCAGGCTGGGACTTATATAACACACAAAAAAAGCCTCTGGTTGCAGTACTCAGTCTCAACAAGTGATATTTGCTCCCACTGCTACACCAGAAAGTTACGAAGTGCCTTGAGCTTCAGGGGGAAAACTGACTCATTGGCTGTGAATACTGGGAAAAATCCCTCCTGCTCTTACACCAAACTGACTCTGGTTACCCACATGACTGAACAGACATGGTTTCAATTCAAACGTCCCCTGCAGTATTGCCTGCTGGCGGCTGGATGCCATCCTGCACAAGGCAGCAGTGAAAACTCTGTACTGATACTCAGGAGACCGGAGTGCTGTCCCTACCTCTGATGGATGAGGTGATCCTGGGCCATGTAAAAGAGCCATGTGTTATTACAGCTTCTCTCTTCTGCCCCAGGGTCCAGTCAGAAATGATTCCTACCCAGAAACAGAAGGCTTCTGTCTCTTGTGGTTAATCAACCAGTCCCTTCACCAAGCTGCCCACCTGTATTGTTGCCGAGGGTCCAACTTCCCTGTGTTGGTCTCCCAGAGCTTGGATGCCAGAACTCTCACAATGTTGAGGAAAAGGAAGAAGTTCACCTGCCAACACATGCCCACAATCACATTATCAGCCAGGCCTAGAGTGTGGTCAGCCAAGCAAATTTCCTGCTAGATAAGGACAACTTGTAAAAAGCGGTCATAAGCTGGATTTGGGGGCACTGGCAAGCTAAAATAGAAGTTGCACTCCTACCCCAGGATAATAGGGTGCAGAAGGTGGCCAGGTCAGAACAAGGGTGTTTGGGACTCCCTTTGCACTGTGATCACAGGACCAAGGCTCCAACATTTTAAATAACTCGGATTATTAGCACTGCAAATACCCATCTCCTGGGACTGCTTTCTGCCTGGGATCATGGTGCCTGGACTGGCTGGCTACCCTGGGCCTTTAGCATATGGTGCTATGTTTGGGATCCCAGCCCTGGGAGCAGGGAGGGGAGAGTGGAGGGGATTTCTACAGCATTTATCCTGTATTGCAATTGCACCACAAACTCCCCATCCCATGTTCCCACAGAACAGAGCTCACCCTTGATCCCTTTTGATTGAACTTTGAAAACCCTCCCCCTTTTCCTAAGATCCTGAAGATATTTCTAGAAGTTTTGGATTATGAAACCAATGTCTGTGGACTGGAGTCCTAGTCAGCCTCTGTTTCAAGTATAAGTGAAAGCACAATTATGTTCTCCAGGTGGCTACATGTGTCACGTACCCGGCTTCAAAACACATGGCACTGTGGCACCAGACTGCCAGGTGGAGAACCTGGGCTCTGTCCTGCCAGGGCATTGTGCTCTCTAGCCCTGTTCCAGCAAGCATATGATTAAAGGCCAGACATGCAAAGCTATTTAGGTGCCAGGTGGGTAGGGCAAGGGGACTGTGTGGGATTTACTGTGCTGCTGAAGCAGGATAGGTGCTGCTGTAAACTTCCCAGGTGCCAAATACCTTTGTAAATCTGGCTATGAGCACTCTCCTGTTGGGAGACCCAACCATCAGCACCTCTCAGGAGGTAACCCATATGAGGCAGAAAAGCAGGCAGTTGCCTGGATACTCTTGTTCATTGGTGGCCAACAGCTTTGGCAGGTGTGCCACTATGGTCCCCACTCCCCAGTGGTGTGGCTGATACAGCTTACACCCTAGGATGCCTGAATGGAGGCAGGGGGGCTTGAGCCTTCACTTGTACAGAGCCAAGGGATGACACTGCTGCCAGAGGAGATGTTCCTGCCAAAAGCCAAGTTAACCCTTTCCTGGTTCCACAACCACCTGTTTTATATGGTGAGTGAGGATCTAACACTTGAATTCACTGGCTAGAGGGCCAGAGAGGGGGTAACACCTTGACCTATCACAGCAGTCTCCTGTCCCTCCTCTTCCACATTAACACCTTCACCTCTCACAGCAGTCTCCTGTCCCTCCTCTTCCACAAAGGGCTCTGCTCCCTGCCTCCCTCCAGACATCTCCCTTTACTAAACACCAGGGGGTTGCAGGCCACGCGCAGCAGCTGCCCATGCCAGTTGTGGCATGCATGACACAGATTGGCCACCCTTGCTCTAGTAAATGCCTGAGAACTACCATGGAAAGAGGAGCTCGTGCCATTTCTACTGGATCTAGGTGGATGTTTTTTGGACTGACTTGGGGAATTGGCACTGGAGTGAGGACAGCTCAGCAAGAGGGTTCTTACCACAATGGCTGCTAAGATAGGGACTTGATATATCCACTTCAGATTCCCAGCACTGAGGTCCCAGCATCTGAGGAAACCAGTAAAAAATGTTGAGGGAAACCCAAAATAAATGTGGAGAATAAAATCCAGTCAATGTCTCCCCCTAACCTTTGTCTCAGGTGGACCTGGATGGAAGAAAGTTGATCCCACAGCTAGAGTTACAACCCCCACTAGGCAGCCCAACAAATAGTCCCCTTCCTCTCCCCCTCCCCACCCAAACACTTCTTGAGAAAATAAATTGAACCTACGTACTGTGTATCTGCCAGGGAGGCCCTGACACTGGCCCAGATAGACACAAACATGGCAGGGAGACCTGAAGGGAAGCAGAACAAGCAAGGTTTGGAACATAAGTTTTGCACAATGTACCCATGCCTGGGAGTTAGTAAGCAGTAACATCTACTGGCTAGAATCAGAGTAGCCTAACTACATGACATGCACACTGTATGGTAGCATTTCTCAAGTTCTTTAGCCTCCAGGCATCTCTCTTGCTAGACTCAAGGCACTGATAAAAAATGCCAGCTCTTAGTTTTCACTCATTTTTTTAATTACAGAAAAACAATCAAGCAATTCCTCAGTTCCAAAGAAATCAGAAAGATCACAACAGGTCAGAATGGTTTTAGCACTATGGATTCCTACTTGGGTTTATCTTGTGAATCATATGTTGGTGTTTGTTCATCTAGCAGTGCTCACCTATTGTGTAGCACCCTTCAAAGGATCTCATGGTAACCCAAAGTGCCACAGAGCCCTGGTTGAGAATCACTATTGTATGGGATACAGCTATCAGCTTCCCTGGTAGTCAGATTGGCAGGGGACTGTGCTCATGGAGCGGGATCTGTGCTTACCCCAACCGATGATGGTGAGGGCCCACAGGTAGTTCTTATTAGAGAGGAAGGCCATGAAGATTAAGCTGTGCAGGTACAGACCCTCCACCAGGATCCAGTAGTGGTTCGTGGCCAGGAAATAGAGGAAAAGAGTCACCACCACCTTGCAGCCCACCTGTGGCCATGAAGGAACAGGAATTGTCAGGGACAGGAGCACTTCAGCATCCCCTGGGATCCCTAAAGATCATTATTCTAGCTTTGACCTTTCACTTTTCTGCATGGGACAATGTGTCTCCTGCTCACATAAAGAAAGGAGTTCCCAGGAGGAGGTCCTACTTGCCAAGAGGCTTTTGAGATGGGGAGGGGACTGCACAGATCCAGCACTGCACTTAGCAGTGCTCAGCATGGACATGTGGTAAAGGAGCCTGCAACCCAGCCACTACAAGGTCATCTCAGCTTAGTCATGTAGTCATAGCTTTCTTGGGATAATATACATGTTCTGTGCTCCTTTTAACTAGAAATGCCAGGGCTGCTTGGCTATCTGTTCCCCACTCTGAGCCAGGCTTAGACCTGTTCTAAAGAGCAGCTTGCTGCTGAGCAAGGAGGCTGCAGAGCTAATCCATGCTGTCCCTGCAAAATCAGCATGGGGGCTACATCCCACCCCACCCCTCTCTTGCAAAAATATACCCTGCCACATCTCTGCTTTCTTGGGAGGGACTTTCCCTGCCCCAGCCTGCAACAGAGCAATGGAACTTCTGTGGCCAGGGAGAAATCCCTCAGGCCCAAGAAAACATCAGGTGGTACTAGTCAGTGATCCTCTGCAATCCCTGGCATGACCCTACAGCAGTACAGCCCAGGCACCCTCAGGGCTACTCTAAGTCTTCCCAGGGCTGTCCTGGCTTCTGATGCAATCAGAAACTGTGCTGCACTTCACCTTAGTCCAGGATCAGAAACACACCAAGGCTCCTAACTTCCCTCCGCTCCCAGGCCCTGGTCATTATCCTCTGGGAGAAAGAGGAGTGATTCTTCCTTCAGCTACTTGCCAGATGGGTCTGGTGTCCTGCCACAGGGACCAACTCGCTCTCTAGATCTTCAAGGCGTGTCATCTCCAGGTCCTCAGGCAATAAGCCAGAATACAGAACCACGTCCTTCACAAAGATACTCACAGCCCGGCAGATGAAGGAGATGAAGAGGTGGATGTGGATGTAGTTTCGTGTGCAATGTAGGCGCCTGTGCCCAGGAGAGAGGAGAGGTCAGGTATGGCAAGCAAGCACATGCCCCTCGCACAAACCATAAGACTTGGGTTCAGCACCTTTCCAGGGGTGAGGGGTCAGTTCTGAGGCCTCAGCTCTGACCTATTATAAAATAAAGCTCTGCCCAAGCCCAGTTGCCCATCAGGCGAATGTGGTGAAAGACACCAGCTCCTTCTGCCAACAACACT